GATTAATATATTAATTATACTATAAGATTTAGTTATTTAAACTTAAGGCTAGCAAGGTAAAGGCAAAGGCCGTGGCCGTGGCCGTGGCCATGGGAGGTATTTATTTTTTTATAAAAAAGTTAAGGCTAATATTTAAGAATAAAGTTAGGTAAAGTAATAAAAATAAAGGCTGGCAAGGCAAGCAGCGCGCCAGGAGGTTATATAATAGGTTATTATAAATAGCCTTACCCCAGCGCCTAATTAAAAAGTTATTATTATTAATAGTAATAGTAAAAATAAAAAACTAAAGCTACTAAAGCTAGTACAAGCAAAGTAAGAAAAAATTTGCAAAGGTTAAGGTGGTGGCTATGGCCAGGGCCGGGGCCGCGGGGAAGGTATTATTTTAAAGAAAGTTTTAAAGTTAATACTAGGTGTAATTAAATTCTAGGCCTTTTATTAGTTAATATAAGTGCTAGTTTAATAATTAAAACTTACGCATGTTTAGCCTGCAGTTTAAACACTAAATTTTATATAAAAAGTTAGAATTTAAAATATTGCGCGCGCGTGGAGTATTTTACTACTAAGCTAAGCCTAATTAGGAAGCGGTAACAAGTTAATTATATTAGCACCTGCTCCTAATTAGGGTTCCGCTTTATAAAACCCTGTTAAATAGTTGAATTACCCTGTTGAAAAAGACTAACTCCTAGAAGCGCGCGAGGCTAGCCTTGCTTTATTATTTATTAAAGCAGGTGTTATAATAAAATAATATTAAAGGCGCCTAAAATATTTATAATAACCATAGTAACCTTTTAGTTTTATAAAAGTATTATTTTTATATTATAAGTAAAAAAAGCCACTAAGTTTATAGCTAAGCACTTAGGTAAAGTATTATACTACTAAGGGCTTAATACCCCTTATACTAATATAGTAAAAATAACATAGCATGTTATAATTTATTTAAGTTTTTTTTTTAATATTAAAAGTAGTGCTATAAGGCACTAAAATTAAAATAAAAACTTATTTTTTTTATTATTTTTTAAAAGTATTACCACCTTTGCAAGCTTTTATAATAAAAAAAAGTATTTTAGCTATAAATATTAATTATATAATTTATATATAACTTACCTAACATGTTTTTAGTAAGCCTTTAAAATATAAATTATTACCTAGTTTACTCCGGGAGAAGTACTGCTCACGCTAATAATATTTTTTTTAACCTTTTTTAATAAGATTTTTTTTTAGCTAGTAAAAATATTTATTACCCTGCTAGTACTCTAGTGCTAGGGAATTAAAGTTTAAGTTATTATTTATATTAAAATACTTTAGCACTACCTTTTATAAAATATTAGCCTTTTCCCGCGTGTTTTTAATTATTTTATTATTTATTAATAATAAGAAAGCCTTAAGCCTGGGCTTTAACTTATACCATGCTATTATTTAATATAATTTTTAATTATTTTTAATATTATTAATTATCCTAGTTTAGTACGCGTGCTTAATTTTATAGACCATGGCTAAAAACTACTTTTTTTATTTTAGGGTAGGATTTTTTACCTAGGCTTGGTAGTTCTCCGCGCACTTAGTTAACTACTAGAGGGTATTATAACTCCCTAGGTTAGGATATTTACTAATTACTTATATAGCTTTTATAATAATATTACTAAAAAATTTAATATATTAATTTAATACTTTTATGTTTCCTAGTTCCCTAGGTTAAAAAAAAAATATTATTTTATTTTTTATAAGCCTGGCCAGGCACTTAAGCTTGTGGTTTAATATATTATAATAATATTATTTTAATATTTTTTTTTCACGCCCTGGTATTATAGTAACTAAAATTTAATAATTAAAGCTATTATATAATTTAAATATTACTAGCATGTAGGTAAATAAAATATTTAAAAAAATTAAATTAAAAATATATCTAGCCTTGTGCGTGGCCACGCCTGGCTTATTAATATAATTAATATTATTATTACTAGCCTATTAAGTAATTTTACTACTATGGTGTAAGTTATTTACTTTAGGCTTAAAGGTATTATATATAATATTAAAATTCCTATTTATTATATAGTTTAAGGTAGGGATTAATATAACTAGGTAATTAATTATTTTATAAATAATTAGCTTTTAATATATATTTAAAACCTTAATATTATTTACTATAAGCTATAATATATTCTAGCTTTATATTAAGTGGTATTATTTAATATATAATACTTTTTTTTTATAAATATAGGTAAGTACCCTAGGGCATTTTTTTAGCTAGTTTTTATAATTATTTTAAGTATTTACTAGCGCGTAATACTTATATACTAGGTAATTTTAGGTTTTTATACCTATGGTAGTTTAGGGCTTTTAAATATAGGTAATATTATAGCCTTATTTATAGGCTAGTTATAGGATTATAATATAGCTAGGTATAAATTTATTTATATTTACTTAATAAATAATAAGATCCTGCTATTACTAGGTATTATTTTAGTAGTAATTATTATAGTTTTTTTTTAGTACTTTATTATTAAAGCTTAAAAAGGGATTTAGTATTAACCTTTATTACCTAGGGCAAGGAAGGCGTGCCCGTGTTAATTAAGGTAAGTTAAATTAATTTAGTAAAAAGTTACCTAAAATTTTAGTTTCTAGTAAAAGTATTAAACCACAGGGTATAATAATTAGTAACTATTATAAAGCCTTATTTATTTATTTTAGGTTTTTTTATAGCGCGCTTTTAGGGGTTTTTTTAAAATAAAAACTATTTAATTTTAGCCTAAAGCTAGGTATTAGTATTAGCTTAGGTATATATATTTTAATACTAGCAGGTGCTATAGCAACACACGCTATTAAATTTTTTTTAAATAAATAAACTAGGGTTTTATTCTTACGCCTAGGGGCTGCTAAATAGTTATTATACCCTACTAGTTATAAACTAAGGTAGTTTATATAATATATAGGGTTTTTATAATTAGGGCTAATAAAACCTAAGTAATTTATAATTATTATACTATATTATGCGCAGCGTGTTACGCGGTTATAATATACTAGGTAATAATATTTTTAATAGCCAGGGTTATACTAGGAAACTAGCTAGTGTTTTTTAATAAGCTAGTAATACTTACTTTAGTTAAATAAAGTAAAGGCCTTAGGCTATTTTAAAAAAAATATTACCTAGGTAATTTACCTAGTGTTAGGGTTAGGCCCATGCCTTAAAAAAGCAAGCTTAACTAGCTTTAATTTTATTTAGGCTATAATCTTATTTTAAATTAACTTAATAATATTTATTTTACTATTATTATATATTTTAATAATACTAGGCACCTTTTATACCGCGTAGTTATACTACTTTTAAAAAATATATATATTAATAATACCTAGGGTGTGGTGTATTATACTAATTATTTTATTAATTATTAAAAGGTTTTTAATAAAAAAGTTATTAAAAATAATAACCTAGCTTATATAAATAATATTAATCCTAGGAATAGCTATGGTTATAATTAGTTTTAGTATATACTTAGTAAGGGCTTGCTAAATAATATATATTTTTAGGTATGTTATTAGCTTATTACTAAAAAAGGTAATTAGCACCCTATAATTATTATATATAATTAAGGCTATAATAAAGCCACTGCGTGCTAATTAGGCTATTAAAACACCTAACTTAGTAATTAGGGGTGCCTTGCCTAAGATAGTATTAGTTAGGGTAAAAAAACCTGCTTTAAAAGGGGTAGGCTAAGCCCCTAAGTTTTTAGGAATTAAATTTATTCCCCCCCAGGCAATAATCTTGCTAAAAGTTATTATAATAACAGGCTAATTATATACACGTAGGGGGATATAATTAGTACTATTAATATTAATATAGCCCTTTAAAAAAATAAAGTATATAAACTTATTATAAATATTATAGGTAAAGGCTTTTTAGTCCTAAGTTTTTTACCTAGTAATAAAATTATTAATAATAATTATAAAACTTATAAAAACTTCGCGCTTAATTTATGCCTAATACTTTTATTTATTAAATTAATTATAAAAGGCTTTTATAATTAGGCTAGGCTAAAAAATTAGCATATTATTATTTTTAATAATAAAAAAAAAAAATAGGCTTGCTAGGGCCCTTTTCCCTTTTACCTTTTTATAATATAAAGGTTAAAAAAAATAAAAAATTTTATAACTATATAAAGTTAGCTAAGTTAATACCTATAGGCTAGTTAAGAATACACACCTTAATTTTAGCTATTATACCGCGGGGAGTAGTAAAAGGGGGAAAAAAAGGTTAAAAATAAAATTAAGATAATAAAAATATATATTTATAATAATTTTAAAGCGTCTAGAGCCCTTATTTAAAGGTACCCCTAGATTACTGAGAGTTGTAAAGGTGTTTTAAAATATAATAAGCCTTAAGAAAGCCCTTTAATTAGTAAATTAAAAGTATAAAAGTTTTATTATTCTTATTTTTAGTAATATTTTTTATTTAAAATATATATATAGCTTTATAATATAGCTATATATTACTTAGTTAAAAAGTATATTAAACGCCCGGAGGGCTAGCGCTTAAAACATGCTTATTTTAATTAAAACTAGCGCAGCACGTGATAGTTAAGGTTTTCTTATAACTTACCGCTTGCTACACATAGATAATCCAGAGGTTTACTATAAGCAATGCTATTGGCTAGTCATTAGCAGCTGGTAGAAGCAGGCAGCAGCGTAAGCAATGTAAGTAGGAAGATAGGACATCGACATTGAGAAGGTGGAGGACGGTTGTGTGGAAGTGTATGCGGCACTTTTCTGGGCCAGTGGACAGAAGCGACGCATCCCACACATCAGCTTTCCATTGTTGACCCCAATGAGGCTGTACACACACAGCTCTTGGTTCCAAATATTCGCGCATTTAAGTGAGCTATTTCTTGCTCCAAACCCGAGTCCGCTCCAGATATAGCTGCTATCTGCCGTCTACAAGTATAAAGAACGCGTGATGCTTTTCAGGAGGCTCATTCTCTCTTGCACACTCTTACAAGTTACGCACAATGCACGACGACAACGACGGAAAAGGCCACCTACGCGTTGCAGAAGATACAGTCTACCGCAATGAAATGCGCGAGCTCTGTCGCCGCGACTCGACCATGTCCATCCACAGCGATCATGGCCGAGTTGTCACACCGGGAAACTTGCTTCCCATAACCTACCGGTCCCTGTTGGTGACCTGAGGTCCCTCATTGAACAACAAAATCAAACAAGCTGATAAGAGTATAGCTCCTTCAAGGTTGACGACGCTGAAGCTGCCGGGAAAGCTGGAGGCAGCAAGCAGGAAAACGAGCATCTCCGAAGTAAGCCGCACCAGTGACACCAATGAAGTTGAATGATGAACCCCCATTAACCAAGCTGTTCGTTCTTAGGCCTCGCCGAACTAGACTCGCACCTGATCTCCGTCCAAGACCTGCAATGCCGTCTGGGGAGCTCGCCCACCGGCCTGCAAGCCCACCAAGCCAGCCAGCGGCTCGTCAAGCACGGCCGAAACCAGCTCTCGCCCCCATCTTCACCTTGGTTCCGCTTAACAATGGGGTACATCTTCGGCGGGTTTGGTAGTATCCTCCTCGGCGGCGCCGTCCTGGTTTTTGTAGCGTGGAAACCGCTCGGTGACCCTCCAGCTGAAGCGAACCTTGCGCTCGCCATTGTGCTGGTGGCCGTCTGGGCAATCCAGGCCGCCTTCAACGCCTGGCAAGACTGGTCCTCGTCGCGGGTCATGGCATCCATCACGACCATGCTCCCGGATCAGTGTATTGCCATGCGCGATGGGATGGTGACGTCCCTTAGTGCGCTGGACCTGGTCCCTGGCGATGTGGTCCAAGTGAAGCAGGGGAATAAACTGCCGGCAGATATGCGCTTTACACAGGTCTCTGCTGATGCGAAAATGGATCGTTCAATTCTCACGGGTGCGTGCCTGGCGTGTTTCCTTTCCATCCAATAGAGCATGCTGATCCTCGCAGGTGAATCCGAGCCTATCCACGGCACGGTCGAGTCCACACATTCTAACTATCTCGAGACCAACAACATTGGTCTGCAGGGCTCGTACTGTGTCTCTGGGGCGTGTCTAGGCATTGTCGTGGCCACGGGCAACGAAACTGTGTTCGGCCGCGTCGCCAGCCTCTCCAGCGGGCGGCGAACCAAGATGACGCCCATGCAACGGGAGATTCTCCGTTTCGTGGTGATTATTGCGTCGCTGGTGGTGCTTTTTGTGACCATCATCGTCATCATCTGGTGTGTGCCTGTCTTGCTTCTAAGCCTGCCCGCTAACACCGTCCTGCAATTAGGGCTGCCTATCTACGGCGAGACCACCCGGACTTCATCAACGTCCCAGCCCTCATAGTCAGCTGCGTCAGCGTCGGCGTGGCCTTTATCCCCGAGGGTCTGCCGATAGCCATATCGATGGGTCTGACCATTGCCGCAGGTATTATGAAGAAGAATAAGATTCTCTGCAAGTCGCTGGCGACGGTGGAAACTCTCGGCGCGGTCTCGGTCATTTGCTCAGATAAGACGGGGACTCTGACGAAGGTATGTATAAAGTTTTCATCATTCGTGATAATGTCATCTGTTTTGCAGAGCTGATTATGAGGTTATGAGCAGAATGAGATGTTCGTCACAGATTGCTTCGTTGGCAGCAGCGACGAATACACCACGGAGAATCTGCTACGCATGCCCGTCTCCGACTCGATCGACCTCCTTCGCACCGTCGCCGGAGTCTGCAACGCGGCAGAACTCGATGTCTCGACCATGGACCGTCCTTTACATGCCGTCAGGATCTTTGGTGACCCCACAGACCAGGCGATCCTGCGGCTCTCGCAGTCTCTCGGTCCGGTAAGCGAGTTGCGCATGCAGTGGAAGACTGCATTCGAGATTCCATTCAACAGTGAAAACAAATTCATGATTCGCGTGGTGAGGTGGACTCTTGGAGCAGAGACGGGAGGAGGGTATGTTCTTGTCCTCGAGTGCCGCGAGGTGTAGGGCTAATTCTAGTGACAGATATTTACTCATCAAGGGCGCCCCGGACATACTCCTACCAAGGCTCACCACTAACACCAACGGCAGGGATCTCTCGCAGGGAGACCGAGGGAGGATCGAGGCTGTCAAGGACCGATGGTCAGCTATGGGAAAGCGAGTGATCCTCCTGGCGCAGAAGGCTGTCACGAACGAGTGGATCTGCGACGTTCAAGCCTCGCGCAATGATAGAGCCGTGCTTCAGTCCGCATTAGACGGACTGACGCTTGTCGGACTTGTGGCTTTGATTGACCCCCCTGTAGGACTTCACTCCGCTATTCTGGTTGCCACAGGCCTGGGATATGCTGACCAAAACAGAGAGACGAAATCCCCGGCGTGATCGATACCCTGAGAAAGGCCTCCATCCGCATCATGATGGTTTGTTGCACTATCCGCACTATAGCCCTGTCTTCTACTAACGCACCACCCAATCCAGGTTACCGGCGACTACAAACTCACAGCCCAAGCCATCGCCATCCAATGCGGAATCATCACAACACTACCTTCACTCATAGACGACATCACCAGCCTTGACCACGACCAGGACGGCAAGGACGTGACACATATCCCGGGCACCACCATCGCGATTGTCCTTAGCGGGCCCGAACTCGCTCACCTCTCCGCCACGGACTGGGACCGCCTCTGCACATACGATGAGATCGTCTTTGCGCGCACAACGCCCGAGCAGAAGCTGCGCATCGTGCAGGAGTTCCAGGCCCGAGACCACATTGTAGCCATGACGGGTGACGGCGTCAACGACGCGCCGTCGCTCAAGGCAGCGGATGTCGGGGTTGCGCTGGGCAGTGGCTCGGATATCGCAATCGAGGCCGCGGATATTGTCCTGCTGGATTCGTTTTCGGCCATTGTCGAGGCTGTGCGGTATGGGAGGCTTGTTTATGGTATGTGTTCACCAAAAGATCGAAGTATGGCATCTAGCTACTTTAGGTTGACATGATGCTGGCACCCAGACAACCTCAAGAAAACCGTCATCTACCTCCTCCCCGCGGGGAGTTTCAGCGAGCTGTGTAAGCCACTGCCACATAACATCGAGACCACTGTTCTGATCAGAGAAACCAGGGCCCGTGGTAACGAACGTCGTCCTCGGCGTCCCCCAAATCCTCTCCTCCTTCCTGATGATCATAATCTGGTACGAATCCCAGCCGAGCCCTATAGTAAAAGCACAGCAACTAACCTGCTCCTAGCTGTCTAACCGACTGCGCCGGCGCCATCGCCCTCGCCTGGGAAAAGCCCGAATCCGACCTCCTGCTCCGCCCACCCCGAGACCCAAAGCGAGACCGCCTGGTCGACACACGCCTCCTCGGCCACGCATACCTCTTCATCGGGCTATACGAGTGCTTCCTCTCCTACGTCATGGCTTTCTGGTACATGCAGGTACGTTCCCACGTTACTCCAAACAACCCACAGCTAACCACTCCATCCACCATCCAGCGCAACGGCATCCCCTTCACCGCAATGGTCCTCCGCTACGGCGACTACGACGCGCACGACACAGCCCAGCTCGCCCGCGTCGTGAACTCAGCCTCCTCAATCTACTTCGTCACCCTCGTCATCATGCAGTTCTTCAACCTGCTCGCCGTGCACACCCGCCGCCTTAGTATCTTCCAGCAGCCGCCGCTCGGCAATCCCGCCACGCAGAACCTGCTCCTGTTCCCGGTAATGGTCTTTGCCCTGTGTGTTGTGTTTCTCTTCCTGTATGTTCCGGACTTACATGATTCCCTGGCGACTACGACCGTGCCGGTTGAGCACTTCTTTCTCCCTGTTGCGTTTGGACTTGGGCTGTTGCTGCTGGATGAGGGGAGGAAGTTTGTGGCAAGACGCTGGCCGCAGGGGTCCGTGGCGAGGGTTGCTTGGTAGGGACCGGCTTGAGGTATGGATGGTTTATTAACCCTGAGGGAAGATGCGCGTACCAGTTCGATTATGGATGTCTACCTTACCTGCTATAAGTTGGTCGGGGTATATAGGTGTCTGTTTGGGGAAGCTGGTGTACTTGGCAAGCACAATGGTAGCCTGTGGGTAGTTGCTACATATAAAGGACATGGACAGTATAGCTAGAAGTTTCTTGTGTTGCATGGCGTACCAAGATAGGGTTCTAGGAATGAACAACAAGATTTATAGTACCTTCCACCAGAGAATCGGATGTCCTGACCCTAGGTTGGTAGCCCTAATCCCCGGGTCTCAGCCTTCACAGACATTGTAACAAGGCCATAAAGTACCATAACTAGGGTAGTTGGCTACCCTACTGCCTCCAAAACCCGCCTACACATAGCCAGAAGCCTTTCCTCCTCGAGACGACGAGCGACAAGCTGCAGGCTGATTGGCATGCCATGCATCAGGTGTTCGTTATCTATCATGGCAAGTCAGTCATTACTTATTTGCCATTAGAGAAACCCTGAGCGCAGGGGTACGCACATTCGGTATTTATAGCCTCGCAGTCTGGTCCAAGGGGGATATAAGCCGGGTCCGGTTTATCGACTGTTTTGTCGACGGCGAGGCCGGTTGGGAAGGAGACGGCGGGGTAATCCAGGACGTTGAAGACACCTGTGTAGCCCACTGGGGGTTGAGAAGAAGGTTAGCGGTTAGTATATGCAGGGGCAGATTTCTTCTTTGTCCTGCCCGGTTTCCTGTGCGAAAAGGAGTAGGGGGGCGGAGATCGGATGGGATAGGTATAACTACAATGTCTGAATTTCCCATTTTCCACCGTGTTGAATGCCATTGTCGGACAGAGGATCGCATCAATCCCAGCCTCGTTCCACAGATCCAAATACCGAGTTTGGAACATGGACCGTTCGGCCTGCAGCTGCCACATCTCGCTCGTTGAAAGCTCTGCCGCTGCACGATGATACCACAGCTCCGCCCGCCACGGTTCACCCGTCTTCTCGAGTAACTTGTCAATGATTTTCCCGCCGTCCGCGACAATCATGCGCATTAGCAGGCTCAGTCCATGCTTTTGCTCGACAGTGTCCCAGTCGATGACTTCGTGGCCGGCGAGTTTGAGTTTGCTGGTTATTTCGCGGAGGGCTCGGGTGACGGGGGGTGTAGGACGGACATGGCCGTCGTGCCACATCACGGCGATGCGGAGCTTGGCAGGGACTTCGACTGGGCGCCAGGGGATAGGGAGGCATTTCGGGTCTTGGAGCCATGGCTGCGCGTCGACGACGATCTTGCTGTATAGTTCCACGTCTGCGAGCGTGCTTGCGATGGGTCCGTTGACGGCGAGCAGGGCTTCTTGGCCCGGTAAACTGGAGCGGCAGTTACGGCTGGGGAATCGCCCGAATGAGGGGCGGAGTGTGAAGAGCCCTGTGCAGGCTGCGGGCATGCGGAGGGATCCGGCTGGGTTATCGCCGTGAGTATAACCTGGCAACATCCATGGAAAGCCTGGCGAGACGTACCTATATCTGTTCCAATTCCAAGCGGGCTGCCTTTCATGGCGATGAGGGAGGATTCACCACCTGAGCTTCCTCCACTGGTGGTCTTGCGGTTCAATGGGTTCACTGTCCGGCCAAGCACGTTGTTGACCGTCTCGCCGATAAGCATGGCTGTTGGAACGCTGGTTTTGACATAAAACACGGCTCCTGCCTTCTCGAGGAGTTGCACAAGTGTGGCGTCTGACTGGGCCGGGTCACCGATATACGCACTGATTCCGACAACAGAGTCCACGCCGCGGAGATTGAAGCTGTCCTTTAAGGAGATAGGTAGTCCGTGTAGAGGGCCGATGGGCTTTCCTGTTTGCGCCAAAGCGTCATCTCGAGCTTTGGCCGATGCGATTGCGCGGTCAAAGCAGGTCTCGGATAGGCAGTTTGTCTGTTTCATTGAGCATGGAACGGCCATAGGATGAAGCACTTACTAGTTGGTGGGCGGCAGCGGCTCGTTTGCAGAACGCTCTTGTCACAGCTTCGGACGTTAGCTGTCCAGACGCGAGCATCGATAGAAGGTCCCCGGCAGAACGGGAAGTGATGGCGAGCTCATCAGGAGTAAACCAGCCAGAGGTGGCCGGCCAAGTTGCCACATCGAGCACAGATTCTGCGGGGAGCATGTGTGGAGGGATCGCCCATTCTTCTGGGATAGACGACGCGAGAGTCTGACGCTTTGTTGCCGCAAGCTCCTCCCAGAACAGTTTCGTTTCGATCTTTGTGTCGGCCATTTGGAGTGATACCAGCGGAGGTCGTTACACTGCGATGAGATAGCCTTCGTAGATAAGGTCATAGAGCATTTCTTCTGCTTAAATGGTATCTGCAGAATCTAGAAGCGTAGAGTTTGTCAGCTTGGTCTCGCGAAGAACAACCAAGATAGGAAACCAGGTGCGCAAAGGTGCATACTCTGTTCGGCACCCCCAGGATGCGCTAAAACTAGTACCTACCTTAGTATTTGTTTGATCGTCCAATTAGTTGACGGTAAGAAGTGTGTCCAAATCTTTCTCATGCCACTGTATCTTGCGGCTAGGCTTTCTCTAATCAATCTAGTGCCGGCCAAGAAATTTCGAGCTTGCGGTCTTGAATGAGCTAGGCATGGATACTGCTCGACTAATATAAATGGAGCTCGATTTCCATCTCCTGCGCAAATTCGTTTGCGAGAGATAGAGGTACACACTGCGGCCGTTCTCGTTGGCGATCCCAAACCTCCAAGACAATCCCCCACAGAGCCTGATCAACTGGGTGGTTCCTTTCATCTACGAAGTTCTTGAATTCTTCCGCTGCCGGATCTCTGCACGCCGACGAGGCAGGCGCACTGAGCGCCGCCATGAACAGGGGAGCGAGAATGCAGTGATATAATGGGTTCTGGAAGGGATCTTCTTCTTTGGCTGTCCGCAGGGCTTTGGCACATGCAAGAATCCGACAGATCAAGCTCTCAATGTCATCGTCTAACGCGAGACGGTTGGAACAGCCATTACTACTGGTATGGCCTTGCCAAGTGTCGATGTAGAACAGGGACCGGGCAACAATGATTCCGGCGAGGCGATAGGCCTCCCAATACTGATACTGGATGATGATTTCTGCTTTTCCTGGAGTCCAGAGGGTGAATTGCGTCTCCGCGGACGGGGAGCCTATATTTGAGTAGATATCAAGAAGGGTACGAGGTAGGCCGGAAGTTGGCTCAATGCCAGTCCGACCCAAAGGCATCACGCAACGAAACCAGATCTCCAAACAAGGTGTGCGCCGACCGATTGTCATTGCCGGAAGGTCAAGTAGACCGATATTTTCAATCAGAAACTCGGTGAGGGCGTCACGGGGAGTCATGGGGTCAGAATACCCCTGGACCTCGAGCATCGTCTGCAGGCCACTGAGGTGGATCGTCCAGAGAAGCAGTGAGGCAATCTTTCGGTTCAGGGTTTAGTCAATCTTTCACATTCAACTTGATACATTCGAGGGTTATCTGGGAGCGACACACACTGATACTACAGATAAGCATTCCCGTCACCAATACCGTGGCATCGGGAATGCGACACTGGTTTATATTCTCCCTGTAAACCGCAATTGCGTCATGCAAAAGAGAGGGAAATAGGTGACGGTGGGCGTCTTCACGGTATGCTTGATATGCGCGACATGCCAGGGCTACGGAGTTGGAATGCGAGATCAGCGGGACCACATGCAGAAGCATTGGGCACTCTTGCAAGGACCGACTGCCCAAGCTGATATGACCATGGGTAGAAACTTGGTATGGTCAGCACAGCACGACCAGGAGAGTGGTGCTTACAGTTCTTCAGTAGTTCGACTTGATGAACGTCACGATCAATTGGCGTTCTTGTTAATAATGATGTATCAGTCTGAAGCTCCACAGACTCATCGTTTGGGCTGTTTCGGCATTGGGTCGTGGTGGGCGTCGTGGATGGCTGCTGCAGAGGTCTCTTCCGGACCTGTCCGGGGGCCATCCATACGAGATGCAGATTGTAGCCCTCACACTGCCTGTTTTTCAGGCGACATGGTCCACAAACAGGCTTTTGTTCATCACACTTCTTGTGGATGCGCTTGCAGTTCCAACATCCTCCTCTCGATCGCATAGCCCCGGAGAGCGTGACTCTACCTTTGGGCGCCATTGGGGCACGAGGCATCTTGAAAAAAGGAATTTCGACCAGAAGGGTAGGCCGTCACGCTCCCTGTATCATGCGCGGTATATTCGGTCACATTGGTGGTGGAATGAGGAGCAATATATCAGCTAGTCGTGCGGAGTTGACAAGGGAGGGGGATCAACTACCGCAGAAAGCAACCGATAGTGGCCTGGATACCTAGGTACCGTACTGTACTGTAACCATGCAAGGTGTTGTATGCTGATTAGTAAGTAAAGATACCGTCTCCAATTGACAGGGACCCTTGCGGCTACAAGCCCCCAGAAGGGAAAGGCGTAGATCAACCTTCACTTCTCCAGAATCCTTCATCATGTTCTTGTATCGGCAACATCAGCCATTGACGGCGCCGAGTTGCATTTTTCGAAGGGATACTCCCTGCTTAGGTCCATGTCGAGATGGCGCCATCCGGACATGTACTCCGTAGGGCCCTATAAATGATAGGTAACATTTGATAGCACATGTCCGTACTGAAATCTCCAGACATGTTGGCTCCCACTGCACCCTCGATGGACGGTGAGACACTCTCCCACCTTGTCTCTCAGACCTTTCAAGATCCCGGTACTCCTCGCGGCAACCCAACAGCTGCCGCGTGGCAAGTACCCCCCGACCCCGAAGTGGCAAMGATTCATTCCAAAGACCTCCCGGAGACGACGGACTTCGCAGTCATTGGGTCTGGCGTGACAGGATGCAGCATTGCGACTACACTTCTCGAGGGCGATACCGCAGCAAAAAATAGCTCAGTGACGGTGTTCGAGGCTCGCACTCTCACAAGCGGTGCAACGGGTCGCAACGGGGGCCATTTGATTTCTCCAATTGGGCCGAGTTTTGCAGACATCGCTGAAAGGCATGGTGTCAATGAAGCGGTTGCCATTGGGCGTTTCTATAGTCGTACCCTGGACAAGATGTTTGCTCTTGCGAGATCCAGTGCAGAGCTCGAACAGGCAAGCGAGGTCCGGAACGTGCACTCAGTAATCGGATACCGCGACAAGCAGTCTTTCAACAGAGCTGCTGAATCGGTAAGGCTCTACGAGGATTCCGATCCCCTAGCGAAGGGTGTTTATACAGTCCACAACGCGCAGGCAGCCCAGGAGGTTTGTAGATCTTCTAATCTGACCACAGAACATTCAGATGCTGACTTTTTGCGCTGTTTCTACTAGACGTTCAACCTCAAAGACGCAGCCGGCGCATTGTCAAGCCAGCAAGGCGCATTCTGGCCCTACCGACTGATCACACGCAAATTCGCTCAGCTACTCCGATCCCACTCAGGCCGTCTATCGCTCGAAACAAGCACCGCAGTAACCGGTATTTACTGGTCACCAGAGGACAACGCTCAATATCCATTTGTCATTACTACATCACGCGGAAGCATGCGGGCGGCCAAGATCTTCCACTGCACAAACGGCTTCGCGAGCCACCTGCTTCCAGCGCTGCAGGGGAAGCTAGTCCCAGTGCGTGGAACAGTATCAGCCCAGAAACCAGGCTCTTGCTTCCCTCACCAAGGGGACAAACTCTCATGGTCATTCATAAGCACGCCATCTTACGACCAGCAAACTAATACCTGTGATGTGGGCTTGTACTACATGCAGCAAAACGCAGCCTCCGGGATGATAGTCATTGGCGGCGAGGTGCAGAAGATAGACGAAGTCTTCTCTGCCGACGATCGCGTCGTCAGCGCTACCTCCAGAGCAAATCTCTCCAGCATTCTCCCGGCCCTCTTCATCAAGGGATGGCAGGACCCCATAACCGGGAAGGCCGAGCCTCCCGACATCGATATGACATGGTCCGGGATCATGGGGTTCACGGCTGACCATCTTCCCCTAGTGGGTAAACTGCCCTCTGGCATTACGGGTCGGCCCTCGGATACCGGACATGGAGAGTACATTGCCGCTGGGTTTAGCGGTTATGGAATACCACAGTGCTGGTCGTCAGGCGAGGCAGTGGCTAGGATGGCACTGGGCGAAGACGTGCCCGACTGGCTGCCCCAGTCGTATCTGGCAACTGAAGAACGGCTCGCCCGTATGACTAGGCAGATGTTACTTTCTTCTGTCTTTGGGCTGGAGCTAGATGGGCTCGGTTCGAGGTGTATGGAGACATTTGAACATTGAAGCTGCTGAGCAAGTCAAAACCATCAATGCAGTACGTCGAGTTTGTTTCTTGTTACAGCAGATTTCCGCATGTAGTCAGGATAAACAGTGGCGTCTAGTGTGGGCGATAGTAGATAATATTTCAGCACACCTCACATTGTACTCCGAACAAGGCATACCAAAAGACTCAGAGTAACACTGCGGTTACAACATCTTCTCCCAAGTCTTTCGCTTGAGTCGACAACCCCGCCGGTCATATGTCATGTGTCTAGCATCCGATGACTCAAATCAGAAATATTTCACTTCCTCCTATCCCATCTTCATCCCAGCCGATCAATCAGCCCACAAAATGGCCTCCTCACACCCACCCAAATAACCTCAATCACCACCTCCGTCTCCTCCACCTTCGCCGCCCAACTCGCCTACACGCAACGCCTCATCCAACTCGGCGGCTAGCGCCATCAAGGATGCAGTCCTTCATCACCACCGAATTTTCACCAACCAATACAAAACCACTCACTTGCAGAACGACGAATCGCTGCTCTCCCCGCACACAGGCGGCGCACTCCAAAGCCACATCGTCAACGCCATCCACGACCCCAAGTCCCCAACTGCACCTGCAGCAAAGGGTGGGAAATCCCTGATCCTAAACGCCCACGTCGATAGGTATTGTCCGCACCGGCCTTGCAGATTTCTGGACCTACGGCCCCCACAGCGGAAGTTTCTGGATGTCAACAAGCTGCAGTTTATTCATGTTAAATATCAGCAAATACCAAAGGCTACAGTTCATTCAGGTCAATATCAACCGCTACATCATCACCGATTCATAAACCGATGCCTCTCCCCCCCAATATCATCCACCGCAGCAAACAGCCGCTGATACAGCCCATCCTCCAGAATGCTCTTCATCCTCGCATACCCCCTCACGCTCTCGTCCGCCTCCTCCGTCTTCCACACAGCCTTGCTCTCAGGCCCATAGACCATGGCCCCGCCCGCGTCAACCCGCTTGTACGGATCCCGCCCGTACGCAAAGTCAATGAAGTCGCCGCCCATCTGCCGAGCGAGCGCCTGCTGCTCCGCGGACATATCATCGCCGTTCTGGAAGACGTACAGGAGGTCGATGGCGTGGTACGCCGTGCCCTTGAGCGGGTTCGCGAGCGTGGATTGCTGGTCGACGTGGTAGGCGAACATCGGGATCCGGGGCTTGGGCTTGGCCGAGGGCGAGGGCGAAGCTTCGGGCTCGTGGAAGTGGATGTAGTTGGGGATCACGAAGAGTACGTCTCGGATGAGGGCTTCGAGGCCCTGAAAGAACGCGTCTGGGGAGTTGGATTCAGATTCAGCGGTGATGTTGTATAGGGCTAGGATCTTGGCTGTTTCCGCGGGGGTCAGGAACCGTCCCATGCGGGTGTGGAAGTGGGTGTAGGTGTATTTGCGGAGGACGAGGCGCCACAATAAGCCCTCGTCGCGGGTATCGCCTGCCATGAAGCCCTTGAGCCAGGGGGGCAGCGGGGCAACGCGCAGCAGAAGGGGGTCTGCGCGGTGGAAGACGCCGTCGTAGCAGGGGTTGTAGATTGGGAAGTCGGCGTGCTCGATGGACCATGTTGCTGCTGTGAGGGCGTCCTGGGACACGCGGCGGAGCTGGTCGAGGGTGTCTGGCGCCGCTGGGTCTATGTTGAGGAATCGGAGGAGTTCGTCGTACCGCCTTTGGTGCTTTTCAAGCGGCCATGCGGGGGCGAGGTTGAGTGTTCCAGACATGAGGATTGCGCGGTCGAACTTTGGGGGCTCGGCTGCGAGCAGGTGGTGCGAGATGGAGATTGCGCCCGCGGACTCGCCGAAGAGAGTGACGTTGTTGGCGTCGCCGCCGAAGAGGCCGATGTATTTCTGGACCCAGTGGAGAGCGATCTGCTGGTCTGTCAGGCCGAAGTTGCCGGCTCCAGAGTGGTTGTCTCTTGCTAGATCTTGCTGGATCTCGCGAGAGGCCAGGAACCCGCCCAGCCCGACCCGGTAGCCGATGGTGACGGTGACTACCGGGGTTCTGCGCTCAACTGAGGTGGTGACTAGACGTGCGCAGTCGAATACTGGATGTTGGGGGCCTGCAAGGAAGAACGCACCCCCATGGATGTACACCATCACCGGATGGGGACCGGGGAGGTCCGCCGGTGGCAACGCAATGTTCAGGTTCAGGCACTCGAGGTCATTTGCCTCCCAGGGAGAGAAGTGTTCAGTCTCTGTGACAGGGACTAGATAATCCTTCTTCGGGTCGTACTCGGGTGGAAGGGGATAGTGTTTCCTACAGGGCGGTTAGCTCTCTGGTCATTATTCTTCACCGGGATGAGGAAACCGCACCCAAGTCTAGTACCGTCGTGGAAGTTATCTTTCCAGCTGGTGACCAGCTGGGCTCTTGTCCACCGCTTGGAGATATTACCGTATGGGACGCCAAAGAACTGACGCACGCCGCTTGGGTATGTAAAGCCCTTCAGCGCCCCAAGACTGGGGACGCTGATGGCAGCTTCTCCAGAAGGAGAAAGACGAGTCATTTTGAAAGAGGGTTTCAATCTTTGCTGTTTGGAAGCTGTTCTGCTTCTGCAGTTTGGGCTGTCTCTGAGCTCTTTATATCGTCCCAGAGCAAGACGAGCATGGAGTCACAGTGACACTCGACGAATACCGATTCTTGATGCCGAAAAGATAGACAAACATCCTATTCGTTGATAGAGCCGAGAAGGAGTGTTATCAGCGTTGGATTGTCCCTGATGTCTGCATAAACGTCCTGATCGCTGGATAGCACGCTTAACCCAATTCGGGCAGCATAGCCGCTGCAGTTGGAGCGCGTTTTTAGGGCATTGCGGGGGTGGAGCTGCACCGTCCAATCCCCAGCCAGGCATGCCGTTCGCATATCAGGGCGAAGATAGCTGCACTTGTATAAGACCCTCGACCTGCCTCTGGAAGTTGCCCAGCACCAGCATCGACCATGGATCCAATCCAGGAGCAACGCCGGGAGGACGAGTTTCCTCCTGGAACCATTCGACTCGAAGAAAGTAAGTGAGCCACGTATATGGTGTGGCGGTGGAAGCTGACAGTGAAGAAACCGGCTCTTCCTCCCAGATCGCCCTGCATCCCATTCCTAGCCAGGACTGCAACGATCCATTGGTATGCCCCGTCATCCAGCCCGACTTGGTCAGTAGCTCACCTGGATGAACCCTATAACTGGTCGAAGCTGCGAAAGACCGTCAACTTTGGCCTGGCATGCACCTTCGTGATCTATACCTTCATCGCCATGGGCAATATCGGAGTCTCGTTTGCGCCCTACCAGCAAGACCTCGGGGCAAGCTATAGCGATCTGAACAACGCCATCGCCGCCAACTACGCAGGTCTCGCCTCCGGGAGCATTCTTTTCATCCCCCTTGCCCACCGATACGGCCGCCGGCCTGTTTACCTGTTCAGCTGCACGATGCAGCTGGTCGCTGCCATCTGGAGCGCGAAGATGACGAGCCACGGCGAAATCGTCGCAACGAGCTTCATCTCCGGCATCGGGGGGGCGATCAGTGAGACGATCATCATGCTCACCATCGCTGATCTCTTTTTCGTCCACCAGCACGCCCTCATGAATGGGATCTTCCTCCTCATGCAGTCCATCGGGACCTTCCTGGGGCCCGTGGCAATGGGGTACGCGATCGAGGATCTGGGATGGCGCACCATGTGGTGGATCACCGTTGCCCTGATTGCGTCCAACCTCGTCGCCGTGGTCTTTCTCTTCGAGGAATCCAAGTTCATCCCCGTGCTGGACGGACGCCCAGCGAGCAGAGCGGCCGACGAGGCCGACGCCGACCTTCCTGCTCCAGATATCACGGGACCCAAGGAGGCAAAAGCGAGCCAGCAAGGTGCACCAACCACCGCGAACACCACCTGCACATGCACCTCCCCCTTCTCCTCCCCACCACGCAGCTATCTCCAACGCATGGCCCTCATCACCCCCTCCAAAGAGCCCACCCTGCGCCAGATCTACCAGCCCTTGCTTGTCTTCTTCACCATGCCCGCTGTCACCTACACAGCAATCACCTACGGGACCCTAATCGGCTGGATCACCCTCATGGCATCGACGCAATCCTTCTACACCCTCCTTCCCCCCTACAACCTCAACCCGTCGCAAGTCGGGCTTCTCAGCCTGGCCCCCTTCATCGGCTCCGCGATCGGGAGCATCGTCTTCTCCCCGCTGAGCGACTGGTCGATTATGGTTCTGTCCCGGCGGAACGGCGGCATCTTCGAGCCCGAGATGCGCCTCTGGTTGGCGTTGCCGGGGTGTGTCTTTGCCGTTGCAGGTACCTTGGTTTTCGGCTTGGGCCTGGCTTATGTATGGTGGCCGCGAATACTACCATCCATCTGTCTCTCCGATATTAGAAAAGCTGACGAACACCAACAGCAAGAACCGCTCATCGTGCTTAACGTCGGGTACGCCCTCTTCGCCGTCGGGTTCATCGTCTGCTCTGACGTCTCCCTGACGTATCTCCTCGACTGCTATCCAGACGTGAGCCATCCTTCCTTCGCTTTGGACTCATCCCCTCCATTTCCGTTCATAAAATCAAGGATGCCTCAACCCTGACTTGACTGGGACTGACAAACAATCAACCAATATAGATCCTCGGCCCGGCCATGGTCGCCGTCGTATTCTTCCGCAACGCGCTCTCTGTGATCATCATGTTTGCGTATACGCCCTGGATCGAAGGGATGGGGCTACGAGATACGTACATATTGATCGCGTGCTTGCAGTTCGTGCTCCTCTTGGTGCCGGTGCCGTTTTTGGTCGTGGGGAAGGAGATCCGGAAGAAGACGGCGGGGAGGTATAGGATGTTTGCGTTGGGGGCATAGGGGGGAGATGGTGGGGGAGGCAGGGGGTCAGGGACGTGTAGTAGATACTGGGACCTAGTGAGAGGTGTGGTTGATTCCCATGGATCGATGGCCCATACCATATGAGGAGGGCCGTGTCCAGTACCCTGTGGTATACAAGCTGGCATCATGCCGACAGGCAGACTAGCTTTGACAAATCCACGATGACATTAGCTTCTGCTACAGTAGTACAGGGGTAAAGTTATCTCTCAAGACAAACTCTTCTCTACAGTATAACTCTATACTGCTTCCTCCTGATACCTGCCAGTACCCTACACCTCATTCCGGTTCACACACGTAGTCCGCGCTCCCGAGACAGCTGGAGGTTCAGTGGGAGGGCCGCAGACCAAACCTGACCGTTCGCTAATAAATACCCATAAAGAATGAACAGAAACCTTCATACCCTGAACAAATCCCATACACCTAAAATCCCCACCCCAGTCTCACGCATAAGCATACCCCTCAACCCCCTCCACCCCCTCCGCATCCCTAACCCAGCTCACCCGATCCTTAACAAACTGCTCAATCCTCGGCTTCAGCCTCCCCTCATGCAAACCAAAATCATCCACCGTCCCAAGCCGCAGGATACTCATCCCCGGGAACCCCGTGCCAACGCGGTACATAAGCGTGCCGCACGTGCCGCAGAAGTAATTCGTCATTGTGTGGCCGGTCGCGATGGTCTTGCTCTGGCTGTATGAAGACAAAGAATCCCGCCCGCGCTCGTGGACCAGGTACTTGTCGGAGATTGTGAAGTTGGAGGCGAACATCGACGCGGTGATTTTGCGGCAGTCTGTGCAGTGGCAGATGAAGGTGTCGATTAGGCCGGGGGGTTGGGTTGGCTGGATTGTTTCTGTTAGGGAGGTACCCTTGGGTAAGAGGGGGGTGGAGGGGCGTTGGGGACTTACGAAGCTTAGCTGCACGGCGCCGCAGTAGCAGGTGGCTGTTGCTCTGTCGGCGGTGGACCAGCCGTCTTGTCGGGCGCCGGCGAGGGGGAAGTAGGGGGTTGTTTTGTTGGTTGGGGGCGGGGGCGATTGGGATGTCATGGTTGGGGATTGATGGAGACGCTTGGAAGATGTTGGTTTCTGTTCTTTGTGGCCCGACACTCTCCTTGGGGGGAAAGCGATATTTATACAGTTCTCAAGTTTTTGAATGACGTCTTGCTGGTTCTTGGACTCGCTGCTTGCGTGGTTGCTTATGGTGACTCCATCGGAGTTGCGGAGCGGAGATGCGGAGTCGTTAGTACCGTATGTGATTAGTATCGCTGAAGGATTTACATTTCTCGAAGCTCGGAAAGTCGGGGCTTGCTGATTAATGTCTGCAAGGCACTGGAAACTTGGTTGTTGATTAGAGAAGTATGACCTAGAGTTGAAGACATGGAAGCCTTTCGAATGCTGCTTACATGATGAGCGAAGAACTCTGATAGTATTAAGAGAGTACTAAGGAACTAAGAACAACACGGCCACTAGATAGTAGGCAGTGGCATGGGGTTACCTAACCTAGATAACTTATTTTTTAACTCCTGGCTAGCTACCTTTAACACAGCCCCCTAGGCGGGAAGCCGTGAGGCTAGTAAAATTTTTTAAATAAAAAAAAATAAGCTTTATATAATAATTTAAATATAAAGTATTTTTATACTATATCACGTGCTATATTTTAAAATTAATATATATAAAAAATAAAATACTAAATTTTTTAATACTTGCTATTTTTACTAACTAGCCTAAGGGCCTTTTAAAATTTATTAAAGTTAATTATATTAAGTAGCTTAGTAAAACTATTAATAGGATTTTTTTTATTATTAATATAGCTAAATATAATAATACCCTATTTATAAAGGTTTTTAATAAAAAAGTATTAATTATTAATTTACTTAACCATATTATTAAACCTAATTTTTTAAATAATATATACGCTATTAATATTATTTATATTAATAATTATTAGCTTAAAAGTTTTTTTTTAAATACCTAGTATTATAGCAAGCTTTTAAATATAAAGTATTTTTTTAATAACTTTATTAAATATAATAAATTTTGTAATAATAAATAATAAAGTAATAATAGTTTACTTTTTTATACCCTAGTAAACTAGTAAACCTGCATAGTAAATAATAAATTTTTTAAATAACTTTTTATTTTTATAATCCTAATATAAAGTGTTAATATAAATCTTTTTTTTTTTATTAGGTTAAAGGCCTAGAATAAGGTTAAACTTTATATATTAAAGGTATTTAAAAAGTCCCTTTATAGCCTTTAAATTATAATTTAAAGGTAAATTTATATAGCGCTATAAATAAAACATTATATAAGCTATATTTAATTAAGTTTTAGTAACTAGCTAATTTAATAATTTATAAAAAACTGCGTATTTTTTAAAAGATGCTTTTAATATATTTTTTATATTTACTTACTTAATCTCTGCATTTTTTAAAGTAATCTTGCGGTAATATAAATAATATATTAAATTTATAAAAATAGTAAAGCTATTATAATTTTATAAACCTAACTTTTTTAAGAAATTTGTAATATATAGTTCCTAACTTATTAAAATTATTTTATTTTTATAATTATAGGTAATAGCATATTCTAAAAACTTTACTAGCTTATTAATTACCTTAATACTAAAAAACTTATTAAGTTCTTTTTAAATCTTGTTAATAAGCTGCTTAATATTATTAATAATAATTAAATTATTAATATAAACTATTATAAACGCTGATTTTTTATAATAAATACAGGGTTTAACTAATAATAGTTTAAATTTTATTTAAATAAGCTTTTTTTTAAGTTCTTTAAACTAGAGATGGCCTAATTAATATAAACTATAAAATACCATAAGTAATAGCTAAATATTACCTAATTTACCCTTAGCTAGGCCTTAAAATTAGTATATATAAATTTTTTAATTTTTTAACACCGCGTGGAAATAGGCAGTAATAATATTTATTTATTTAGCATACTTATTAAGTATAATTATTATTAGAGAATTGCTATTCTCACAGAGAAGATTCTTATTCTCACAGAGAACTAAAATATTAAAAATATATTAATAAGCTAGGATTAGGTAATATAATTAATATTAAGAATTATTTATATTTTTAATAATAATATTTATATATAGGTATTTTAAAAAAATTAAATTACATAATAATTAATATAAAATACCAAGGTATTTTTTCTTGCTTAATATCTTATTAATAAATTTATTATTTTTAGGAATATTAATACTTTTTTAGACAGTTCTAAGAATCTATATAAAAATAATACGAACTATTAGAATATTACTTTTTTAAAAATTAAAAAAACTTAATTACTTATTATAAATTACTTATTTAACCTTTTTTAATAATACTTGGTATTCTCCTGTAATAAAAATGTATTTTTAAATAGTTTTTTATTTTTTAATAAATATAGTAAGTATAATATCTTAGTATATTAAAAGAATATCTAAATATTACCTATAAAATAAAATATTAAATAATACATAAAGTTTCTCTGTGAGAATAAGAGTGTTCTCTGTGAGAATAGCAATTCTCTATTATTATTTAAAATATTTGCATGGTAATGTTTAAAAAAACTAGGGTAGTATTATTTATAAAGTTAATACCTAGTTATTATTAATTATTATATATAACCTAGCACGCCTTAAAGTATTTAATTTTATTATATTTATTTATTTTAAGCAAGAATACCTATTTATTATTAAGGATTTTTACGCCTTTTAGGCAGTAAATAACCTTATAAGCCTTTATACTAGTAATATTACTAATTTAATATTTTATTACTACTAGCTATTAGTTTATGTACTTTAACTTTATAGCTTGCTTATAGTTATTTAGTATAGTAATATTACTAGTATTAATATTTTTATTATTATTAACAAGATTTAATACTATACTTATTATATATTTACATGCTTTATACTTTTTTACTAGCTTAGTAACCTGCTTGGCCTTGTTAGCAGCCTGCTTATTACCTAGCTATTTTATTTTGCGGTGCTAACAGCTTAAATAGTAGTTTATTAATAGTAATAATAGTGTTAATAGCCCCTTAGCGGGCACTAATAGTAATAACAGCACTAATAACCCTTTAGTAGGTGCTAGCACTTTAAATTTATAATATTACTATACTAGTATAACTTTATTATTTTTTACCTAAGTGGTGTTAAATTATTAAAATCTAACCAGGAGATACGTAACTATTTAAATATTTTTACTTTTTTTAAATAACTTTTAATAACACTTTTTACGTGTTATATTACTTATAATTTATAAGTTTATATTTATTAATTATAGCTCTTGCTCCCACGCTTCTTACTTAATATAGGCTTTAACCTTACTTAATAGGTGTTTATAACCTTGCTATTATAAGTAAATATTAAAATTTAGGTATTAAGTATACAGCGCCTCCGGAGTTAAAATAAAACTTAAAAATAATATTATAAAAGTAAAAAATTTAATAATAAATAACTCCTACACGGGTATTTAAAAAACTAATAGCCCCTTTATAAGTATTAGTTATATTAATAGCCCCTTTACAGGCGTTAGGTAAATAATAAGTATAAAAAATAGCTTTAATAATATTTAACTTATATTTTTACTTAAATTATTAAAAATTTCTCGCGCTGTATTAGCCAAAAAATTAGCTTACTTTTAAATTATTTTTTATAATAATATAATTTATTATTTATATATTATAGCTACAAGTGCCTAATTTTTTAATTTTTTAAGTATATTTAGGGGCGTTTCTAGCTCCAGAACTTTATAAATTAGTGTTTTTTTTTACTAAGTAATAACATGTTAATAAACTGCCTTAACAGCCTTTGCTTTCTCGCGGGCAGCTACATGCTTAAAGTAATATATTATAGGCGCCTTGTGGTTAGTAATTTAAATAGTTTTTAATATTACCTTATTAATAACTATAATAATAACACCTGGATCCTTATTTACAGGTTTTTTAATAAGATTTGCGGTTATTAGGCGTTTATTAGTATAATTATTTTTATATACATGGCTTTTATTAATAGTAATATTTTAGGATTTATAAAGCTTACGCTTTAATAATATATAAATATATTAAATATAGCTATAATTTTTTTTATATCTTATTTAGTATTTAACTTACGCCCAAGGCATTATTTTTTTTAATTAAATATAATTTTTTTTAAAAATATAAACCCAGGCGCGGTAATTAAAAACCTTAAACACGTGTATTAAAGGCTTAAGATTTTTAATATATTAATACTCCTGTTAAATTTATATAAGTAGCTTAGAATTTATATATTTTAGGTAAAAAAGGTAATTTACTAAGCAAGTTATATTATTTATAATAAATAACTATAAATATTTTAGTAAATTATTATTAATTATTATTACATGGGTAATATTATTAAAATACCCTTTTAAGCACTTAGCTTTACTATTTAGCTTAGGCGTACGTGAAGGTATTACCTTACTTTAAATACCTTTTATTTTAGCCTAATTTAAAAAATAAAAAAACTTTAATCTCTTATTAATTTGCTACTAACACGGATAGTAATTAGTTAAAATTTTTAATTTTTTATTAAAGTTAATTATTATGGTAAAGGCCTTAGGTTTATTTTTAAGTAATACTTGTATAATAAAAGTAGTTATACTATTTACTATAATTAAGTAATATTTAAACTTACCAAAGCCTACCGGAAGGATTGTTTAAAAATTTATATATTAAATTAATATAAAATTATTATAATTTAGGTTATTTTATTATTATTTTTCTTGCAAAACTTTACGCTTAATATTTACTATATAATAAATATTATATATAAACTTTAAAATATTTTTTTTATTAATTATACCGCGCAGTTTAAAAACTTTATAATAGCCTAAATAATAATATATTTATATAATATTCTCGCGGATAGCTTTAATAATAATTTTTAACTTATTCTTACTAAATGCCGGCGCTTTAGTAAATATCTTATTTATAAATATATTTAAAAAAACTATATTAATAATAAAAACTTTATATTTAATATGCGTTAATCCAGTAATAATATTTATTTTTATATTATAAATAAAAAGATTTTTAAAGCTTTACTAAATCCTTATTTTTTCTCGCGCTTAGGTTATTAATAAAAGGTTAAAATTTAGGTCTAGATTAAAGTACGCTTTAAAAAAATACTTAATAAAACTTTTATTAACTTAGTATAGGCAAATACAAGCATTTTTAATATTATAAATAATAATATTACCTGCACTGGTAGTTTTATAAGTATAGGCTTTATTATATAGCCTATACTTATAAAGTATAAAAAATAGTAAGTAGTTACTTATAAGATGGCGGGCCGCACTAGAGTTAAAAATCTAGCTTTAATTTTTTTTAGTTAATAAAGCTTTAATAGCTATATAAAATGCAAAGCTATAGTTATAACTATTAGCCGCCTGCAAAGTAGCGTTTTAACCTATATTTTTAAATATTAATACTTTTTCCTTCGGCGGCTTATAATACTAAATATATAATAATAGCTTTTATTTTTTAGTATAAATAAATAGTACTAGATAAAAATACTTACCTAATTTATAGCTAATAAAATAATAATACGCGTAATATTTATTATTTATATACTACTTTTTATGCTTAATAAACTTATTTAAATACACTTTTTTTAACTATCCCGGGCCAGGGCCCTTGCGCTTAAAAAACTTTTTTTTATTTTTATTTAACTTTTTTATAATTAGTTTTTTATTATTTTTATTACTATTTTTATTAAAATTAGGCAAGGGTTTACCTTTAGGTACTATAGTATTAACTTTTAATACTATAGCTATATAAGTAATAATATTATTATAAAGCTTTAAAAAATTAGTTTAATAATAGCCCTTAAGCAACTTGTTAGTAAATATATATTAATAATTATTTACCTAGTTTAGGAGATTATTGCGGAGATTTATAAAAAAAATAAAAAATAAATAAAATATGCCTGTTTTAATACTTAAGCGGGTATAAACCTTATTTACTTATTAAAATATATTAATATAATTAATTATATTAACATAGTTATTATATTTTATATTTAACACGCGTATACTAGCTATTTAAGCCTAAATTATACCTTAATTATTTACTATTTTTATAATAATATTATATAAATTATTAGCAAACTCCAGGGTTTTAGGAATATTATAAATTTATTTATTAATTTTATTAAATACTTAAGTAAATAGCTAGTAAGTAATATATAAAAAAACTACTTTTTATTATTTATAAATATTACTATCCTCCTCCCTAGGGCGGGGAAGTATTTTATTAATAATAATATTAATTTTTAATACTATTAAAAAATAACTAACAGCGTAGCTTTACTATTTATAATTTTTTTTATTTTTTAGGCGTTGCGTAACTTCTTAAATATTAAGTTAAGTAAAAAATAAAATAATCTTATTATAAAATATTTTTTAATAACATACTACTAGTACTTAAAGTAGTTAAGGGGATGCCTTAGGCTAAGGGCTAGTAATATTTTTATTAATTATAGGGGTAAAAATAATAGTAAAAGTATTAATAACTTTATTTTTTAAAAAGGTAAATATATTAAAATAATAATATAGCTAATAAATAAAAAATAATAGTTAATAAAACTTAAATTTAATTAATAAAATTTAAAGATATAACTTTAGCGCGCGACTACGGCCTTAAATTATAAAAAAAATAAATTAAATTAAAATAAAAAATAAAACTTACTTAAAGGTTTTTATATATATTAAAAAATTAATAAAAAATAATAAAATAGTGGCTAACCGGGCTACATAACCTAATAAGTAAAGAACTTTAATAATATTAAAAAAGTACTAAGAAACTAAAAACAACGTGGCCACTAGATAGTGGGCGGCGGCGTGGGGTCACCTGACCCGGATGACTCATCCTCCGACTCCCGGCTAGCTACCTCCAACATTACATTCCCAAGATGTTCACCCTAGTGCTCGTGAGAAATCCTGCTGACAGGACAGCTAGTTGGTGGTGCAGCTACCTGTTCTCTGAAAGCAAAGATGACAGTGATATAATGCCTCTGGATATAGACTGACTCAAGCATATATCCAATCAAAGTCTCTGTATGTCTTGAGGGTTGGATTTGATCCCAGCAATTTCTCCCGACTTTGTATGAACCAGATGAAGAAAATGAGCTTGATCAGTTTCTTACACATCCAATCCTACCCAGTACACAGGGTAATTCGCAGAATACCCAATGGATATCACAGCGGTTGTGCCGGTCTGACTGATAGCAAAATCGAGGCCTGTTCAGAATGGCACCAAGCAACCCGAGTCTACGCCCAATGCAACGGCAACGATACCCAGAGGAAAAATTGAATTATCTATACTCTATCAGTCTATAATATACTCTATACCTAAACAGCCCAACCATCGCAAAACCACTCCTGCTCATGCTTCCGCATGCACAGCCAGATACTCCTCGCTGAACGGGTAATCATTATAGCCGACCTCACTTTCCGCAAGGTAGAACGTCGCCCGGTTATACCTGTTCAGCTCAATCCCATGCCGGATCCTGAAGACCAAGTCAGGATTAGCCAGGAAATGGCGACCAAAGGCAACCAGCACGTCCCACTTCTTGTAGTGCTCTTCCAGAGCCCAAGCCGCCGTCTCGGGACGGTAGCCTCCTGCCACGATCACAGGGGACCGGTTGTCCCAGGCCTCCAAGATAAAGTCCAACGTCTTGCCCTGGTTGACGGTTTTGCCACCGAAGATCAATGCCCCGGGGTCGCCGGTTGCTTCCACGAGAGACAGGTAGGCAAGCGGCGGCACCGTTGCCTTCAATTGCTCAATGATATATAGGTATTGGCCGTGGATGTCGCCTTTCTCGGCTTGTTGGAACGCTGCATACGGCGATAGTCGCAGGGCGACGCGGTCTGCGCCCACAGCATCCACAACGGCCTTGACGACCTGCAGGACCAGCCGTGCGCGGTTCTCGGTGGACCCGCCCCATCTGTCGGTGCGCTTGTTGACGGCGTCGGAAAGGAACTGGTCGAGGAGGTAGCCATGGGCACAATGGATCTCCACGCCATCGCCCCCGGCAGCGATGACGCGCCTGGCCGTATCGACAAAGCTCTGAATAATCTCTAGGATCTCCTCCTCTGTCATTTCCTGGGGAATAGCTTCGACGTCGTCCATGGGGATCGCGCTGCTGGACCGGTACTTGAACCCCTTCTTGGCCAGGAACTCGGGGTACGAGGCGCGGCCCATTCCCCAGATCTGCTGGAAGTAGTAGGACTCCTTTGCGTGGACTGCATCGATGATGGATTTCCACGCTGCGGCCTGGCGCTCGCTGACGAATCCGGGGGTGTTGTCCTGGCCTTCTTCGAGATGGGAGACGGCGGTTGCTTCGGAGATCACCAGTGTTCCTGGCGTGGAGGCGCGGTCGGCGTAATACTTCGCCATGAACGGCAGCGGGGTGTGAGCTTCGTCATTGCGGTTCCTGGTCAATGGGGGGAACACGATGCGGTGGGCGAGCTGCATCTTGCCCACCTGCAGTGGCTTGAATAGTCTGCTTGATGCCGGGTCGATGATGGGTTTCGTGGGCTTGGTGGGAGGTGCTGGGCCGTTGGAGGTTGTGGTGGTCGTTGTCATGTTTGCTGTGGTGAACTTGAAATGGGGTTCTTCTTCTGGCAAGGATGGCGAGAACGGAGATCAAGGACTCGATGGCGAAGAATAGGACTTTGAATTGGGTTATGGCGTGTTGGGAAGTTGAGAAGGCTGCCTTGGCTCAAGATGCGTGGTAAGAGATGCTTTATAGCAAAACCATCACCTGCAGGATCTCAGTTTTCCCAAAAAAGAGTGTGCTCTCCGGATCGACTCCGAGCCTCTGCAGGCCAGGCTCCGTGGCTCCTCTACTGCTCTGGAGGCACTGGTGCCGGAGCTGCTCCGACACTCCATGAAAGCCGGAGTTCCGGAGTACTTAACAATCAGGGATGATCAGGAGCAACTCCTACTCTCAGACAGATATCTTACACCCCAAACGAACAAACTCGAATACTTCCACCGTACAGAGAACATGGCCTGTCCTTCTGCCTACTCCCGTCTTGCAGAGGGGGCTGAGGTTGGCTCTGGCTGCGCGTGCATACCCCTACCCTACCTACCGCGGTAAAGAGCTGTCTAGGCTTCGTCTGATCGCCCGAAAAGACTCCCCCTATTGGCCCTTGAATCGGGTGTAAGCGAGTCCTGCTACTCGCTTCGCTGAGCCCGGACGTGACGAGTACTTACCTACAACAGTATATAGCTCGCTCCTATTTTGTTCGCTCGCGGCAGTACTGCCTTCCACCGTGCCCCTGGAACACTGGCCGATTCGGATGGGAAGCCCTTTGATGTGCGCGGCGGGATAAAGCTGTGAAGGTTATAAAGCTGGAATGTTACCCATCTGGGATCCTTGTCTTGGAGGAGGAGAGTCAAGCAGCGGTCGAGGTCGAGTCGACATGGGAAGAGATGACAGCGATACATCCCATGTGTAATTGAGCTTCTAAACTAAACCTTTATCTACACTTCTATGTACCAAAAGCAAGAACAAGACGATCATCAACGAGAAGGTATAATCGCGCTGACCATCACACCAGCGCGACGGAGCCATCTCTTTACCCAGTCAAGGCGTGGAACTGCCCGTCCTGCCGCGTGCGAGTCTTTCATCCCGCTCACGCCTCCATTCCTCTCCCCACCTCCACTCAACCCAAACGAGCGGCGTAAAAAGAACCACCATGCCCGTGACAATAAAGAAAGCCTTCATTGCCTTGACAGCAGCAATCAACGGCTGGATGGCGCTGACGCCCGCGGCGCCCAGCAGGCAGCGGCACAGGTTATTCAGGGCGGTGGCGCTGGCAGGGCGATCGGGGAAGCAGTCGATCAGAGCTGTGGAGTTGATATTAAAGATTGAGGTGGCGGTGAATGCGATGAGGAACTGCAGAACGAGCGGGGCGGCCAGATTGGGAGTGAAGTGCGCGCGGATGTCGTTGAACTCGAAGCTGGGGCCGTACAGGGCGAGGGATATTGTGAGGAGGGCGCTGAAGGGGGCACGAGGCGCAGTCGGGCTTTTATGTACGGGAAGGCTGGGGCGGTATTGATGGTGTTGTCGGGGGGGTTTCCAAGCTCTGTTTCGGGGTGGTTTGCTAGACTGGCGCGGTGGAAGCTTTGGTCGAGGAGCCAGCCTGTTGTGAGGGAGCCGCAGATGCAGCCGAGGCCGTTTGGGAGGAAGCAGAGGCCGACTTGCCACTGGGTGAGGAAGGGGAACCCGTGCAGCAGCATCGTTGTTGTGGACGATGTGACCATGCTCCATGCGGTGTAGGTGACGCTGCCCCAGGCAAGAATGGCAGCGATGTCCTTTTCAAAAATGTAGGTGAGAGGGTGGAGGACACTCTTCGCGGAAATCGGCGACTCCGGTTTCAACGAACGTGTGTCTGGCGGCGCCGACCAGGCCGATGGTGGCTTGAACATGTATAGCAGGGGCTTATGGAACCCCGATAGACGGATGCTGCCATTGCCGGCGATGCTGCGTTGGGTCTCTGGGAGGAAGATCAGGAGGGCACCGAGGACGATGACGCTCAGGGCGAAGAGAAACAGGAAGATGCTGCGAAACCCCCATGCCGTGTTCAAGAGCCCACCGATCACTGGGCCGACCGCTTGGCCTGTCATACTAGGGGGGGTCCCGTTAGAGGCGCGTTCCGCAACGGGTTGGAAGATGTGTACGTACCGCACACCAGCGTTCGTCCCCATGAACCCGCCCCTTTCCTGCGGGAGGGCAATGTCAGCGATGACCCCGGCGCTGATGCTAATCGTGGCTGCGGATCCTGCGGCTTGCACGGCGCGGAGAACGATCAGCATTGGGTAATTGGATGTGAAGGCGAGGGCTAGGTTCGCGCCCAAGTAGATAGTCAGACAAACAACAAATGCGAGGCGACGGCCGGCGAAATCCGAAAGCGCGCCAAAGAGCGAGGGAGCAATGCCCTGCATGATCATGTAGACGGTGATGGTCAAGGAGACGAGTTCGGCGCTGACGCCAAGGTCGGACGAGATGGTGTCGATGGCGGGGAAATAAATGTTGGAGGATAAGGGGGAGAAGGAGGCTGCGAGCGAGACGAAGATGACCAGATTCCATTTCTGCGTGGACGACAGGATGTGGAATGGCGATGGGCGAGTGGAAATGGGGAGGCTAAGCTCGTGGGTTAAATGCGCAGGGGCCGTCGACATTTCGAAGTACGACATGAAAGAGAATACAAAGGCAGTCTGTTTGACGCCATGCTGTACTTTCGAGGACATATATACCGATCACAAAGCAGTCTCGATGAGTGACATCTGTTGCCTGCAGGAGCACTTACGCGGACTGATGCCATCCCCTGCACTGCCAGTGCAATATGAAAGGTTGAGAGCAATCATCAATGGCCAAAGGGCAGACAAGAAAGAGACAAGAGAGGAACAGACAGGGATCGGGATCCGCGCCAAAGGTCGATCATTGATGTAAGCTCACCTGCAGCAAAAGCTGACGAAACACACGGCTATTCTTAGAAAGAGCATTGCTATTCCCTGTACTGCACAGCCCAGAAATGCCAACCACTAGTCTGGTGCTTAGCCTGAAGCTTATCATCCCTGATCGAGGGAAAGAAAAAAGAAAATAAAGCCTCGCTGACTGGGTGCCTTTGAAAGAACGCTCTCGGACGAGCTCTGGCAAGATGGATTTTGTCCAAAAGCTGTATGTTCTGCACGATTATTCCCCTGCCACTTCGTCTAACTCTTTCAAAAGCCCTGTCAAGTCTGGACCTTTGGAAGAGGTTGACCATGGATATATCACATTTACGGTGCCCAGTTACAGGCCAGGCGCCTTATATCTTCTTCAACGTGTCCGAACCAAACGAAGGGCTCAGTTTGGGGATGGCGCCTCTAGGCACCCGTCAAAGCCAACCAGTATGTACTATGAGGCTTTTCCCCCTTGTACGCACCGCGCGTCCCATGCAGGCTTCTCGCGCCTTGTGTGACCACCAAGGGTAAAAGTCAGGTTTTTGGCCATGCATTGTATTAGTAGAGATTGGCGAACATTATGCGGTACAACTGTTGCTGAGAACTGTTGGCCACGGTATAGACAAGGCAGTACTGCAAATCAAATGCACAAAGATCAAGTAAGAGGATTCAAATCTCCCGAAAACTAGTAAGCTGCAAGACCTGGTTATGGAATATTTGGCAGCTTGGCGGAATATGACTTTCTGAAAGTCTAGCTGGCGGAGAGGAAATATAGCAAGACATCCCATCTCTTAAAACATGCGCCGCCATTCCAACAAATCTTCAAGGGCCGCCATTCGCATTCGCGTCATTAATAATATCCGCCGCAATCTTTTCAGCCACCATATCTAAAAGCCCATCACGTTAGCAGACGGACTTCCAACATAGAGAAAAGCGAGTGCCACAAGGACACGGTAAACAACATACAGCACGTCGACTGCGGATGCCCCGGCGGCAACAACGCAAACGCACTCGCATCCGCAACCCTCAGCCCCGTAACCCCAAAGACTCGTCCTTTGCTATCAAGCACCGCCATGGAATCATTAGCGTGCCCCATCTTACACGTACACGCCGCATGGAAAATCGTCATGACGCTCTCGCGGATCGCGTGCAGGATCTCTGCGTCGCTCTGCACCTGCGGACCAGGGAATGCCTCCTCGCCTACGACAATGGGCGCGATCCCGTCGGGGGCGCTCCATGCCTGCCGCATGCGCTTGTACATGGCGACTGCAACCTGGGCGTCGGACTCGGTCGAGAGCCAGTTTGGTTGGATTAGGGGTAGGTCGTCTGTGTTGTTTGAGGCGATTGTTACGTAGCCGCGCGAGGTTGGGGAGACCAGGGACCCGATCATTGCGGCGTAGGTGGAGCCGTCTGTTGGTTGGCCGAAGACAGGGTCCAGGAAGGAGTCTAGGTAGATTGCGAAGGAGATGTACTGCGCACATGTTATCAG